TAAGAGTAATAAATGCAGCTACGCATTGAGAGCACACAGTGGCAAAACCAGAGATTCAGAACGTAAAATGTTACACACCTTCTGCTGTAATGTCCCTAGTACCTCAGCCCTGATGGTCGAGGTGTATGAACAGAGCAAGGTTCAGGGGGAGACAAAAACCCCTGTTACAAACTCCCATAGCTGTACGGCACCTGAAAAGGCTATTTTGTGGCTCAAAGTTTGTCTATTTGTATCTATAGCGTAATTTCAAAGCTTGATTTTCATTACAATTTTGAAATTATTTAATGTTTTCTGTCCATTACACCTACTGTGAGGCACCTCCATTTCTCAGGTGCTCACCTTGAGATAAACTGTCCTTAACTCCATCCGCAATCAGTGCCGATGGGAACTGTGGGCTCTCCACACCCCTGAAAGGACTTGAGAGACCACACCACCATAAAGAGGACAGGCAAATTAAGCACTAGCAAGTAACTAAGGACGCATTTTTGGAAATGCTGACCTTAATTTCTTTAAGTTCCTCTTATGTAAAAGAAAACCAAACACATGCTTTGCCTTGGTATTATAAGAATGGATGTGTCACACCTGTAAGACTGGACTGAAGCCTCTAAAGAAAGATGGTACTACATAAGAAATACTGTATTTAACATGAATTTGCCAGATACTGATTTGTAAAAACAAAATTAACTGCAAAATGACACAAGAATTATTATTTAATGGCATAATAACTTAACACATGCTAATTTTAAATATATTAGTAGCCTTCACTGTCTAAGAGCTCGAGTACGTATTACATGGTTATCTGGCAGGATGCTAGCTAAACAATGAAGTAAAAAAATCAAAGGTTTTTCAAGGTAATTTAAAAGTCTACATAGGAGATGATACTTCTAGACACACAAGATACATTAAACACTTGATAAAGTGTGTTTGGTGATTTTTTGCCACAAAGGACTATAAACACACAGTCTTCTGACTGGACTTAGAGCAGGGACATCCCTCCTCTATGGAGGAGAAAGTGTTACCTCCTCCTCCTCCTGCATTGAACTCTTCCCATCCCCTACACAATTTACAAAGATGCTTCACTGAACAGATAATTAACTTCCACTTTTCAATACATAATTATATCTAATCATGTATTCAATCGACCAAAAGAGCTCCCACTTACATGATCTATGAACTATACTTATCTTTCACTGCCTACTCTGTTCTTCTTCTGCCAATTCTCCTGACTTCTATGGATTTCTGTTTGCGCACTGATGCTCTCCATTTTCAAGAAAAGATTGATCAGAAAATAAAGCTTTAACTTTGAAAAAAAAAAGACAAGGAGGTCTAAATTATTCTTTTAGTTTCCAGACCTGAAAGGCAGTGCTGCAAAACAACAGCTGAAATGAAAAAAAAAATTAAAAAAAATTAGGTTGTCTAAATGTTAAGAAGTCATCCAAAAGAGTGGGTCTGGTTTTCCTCTCTGCTTCGGAGGGCTTTATTAGTAGTAATCCAAGCGATAACCTTTGCTGAAGAGTGAAAACTACTCCTTCTTGTTATGTTTTTCCTGGATTTGTTTTCAGTTGGATCACGTTTATGATCTGCTCATCACAAAACTGGTGCCAGTACACAGGAGGCAGTGGAAGTACCTCCACCAGACACAGCTGAGAGAAACGGGATGACAAATTATCACTTGAAAACGACTTCTGAGGTCGTTAAGAGGGACACTGCTTCCCAATAACTACCTCCTTCCTAAGAGTAATAAATGCAGCTACGCATTGAGAGCACACAGTGGCAAAACCAGAGATTCAGAACGTAAAATATTATGCACCTTCTGCTGTAATGCCACTAGTACCTCAGCCCTGATGGTCAAGGTGTATGAATACAGCAAGGTTCAGGGGAGATAAAAAACCCCTGTTACAAACTCCCCTAGCTGTATGACACCTGCAAAGGATCTTTTGTGGCTCAAAGTTTGTCTATTTGTATCTACAGCATAATTTCAAAGCTTGATTTTCATTACAATTTTGAAATTATTTAATGTTTTCTGTCCGTTACACCTACTGGTGTTACCTCCTCCTCCTCCTGCATTGAACTCTTCCCATCCCCTACACAATTTACAAAGATGCTTCACTGAACAGATAATTAACTTCCACTTTTCAATACATAATTATATCTAATCATGTATTCAATCGACCAAAAGAGCTCCCACTTACATGATCTATGAACTATACTTATCTTTCACTGCCTACTCTGTTCTTCTTCTGCCAATTCTCCTGACTTCTATGGATTTCTGTTTGCGCACTGATGCTCTCCATTTTCAAGAAAAGATTGATCAGAAAATAAAGCTTTAACTTTGAAAAAAAAAAGACAAGGAGGTCTAAATTATTCTTTTAGTTTCCAGACCTGAAAGGCAGTGCTGCAAAACAACAGCTGAAATGAAAAAAAAAATTAAAAAAAATTAGGTTGTCTAAATGTTAAGAAGTCATCCAAAAGAGTGGGTCTGGTTTTCCTCTCTGCTTCGGAGGGCTTTATTAGTAGTAATCCAAGCGATAACCTTTGCTGAAGAGTGAAAACTACTCCTTCTTGTTATGTTTTTCCTGGATTTGTTTTCAGTTGGATCACGTTTATGATCTGCTCATCACAAAACTGGTGCCAGTACACAGGAGGCAGTGGAAGTACCTCCACCAGACACAGCTGAGAGAAACGGGATGACAAATTATCACTTGAAAACGACTTCTGAGGTCGTTAAGAGGGACACTGCTTCCCAATCCAGTACACAGGAGGCAGTGGAAGTACCTCCACCAGACACAGCTGAGAACACCGGGATGACAAATTATCACTTGGAAACGAGTTCTGAGGTTGTTAAGAGGGACACTGCTTCCCAAAAACTACCTCCTTCCTAAGAGTAATAAATGCAGCTACGCATTGAGAGCACACAGTGGCAAAACCAGAGATTCAGAACGTAAAATGTTACACACCTTCTGCTGTAATGTCCCTAGTACCTCAGCCCTGATGGTCGAGGTGTATGAACAGAGCAAGGTTCAGGGGGAGACAAAAACCCCTGTTACAAACTCCCATAGCTGTACGGCACCTGAAAAGGCTATTTTGTGGCTCAAAGTTTGTCTATTTGTATCTATAGCGTAATTTCAAAGCTTGATTTTCATTACAATTTTGAAATTATTTAATGTTTTCTGTCCATTACACCTACTGTGAGGCACCTCCATTTCTCAGGTGCTCACCTTGAGATAAACTGTCCTTAACTCCATCCGCAATCAGTGCCGATGGGAACTGTGGGCTCTCCACACCCCTGAAAGGACTTGAGAGACCACACCACCATAAAGAGGACAGGCAAATTAAGCACTAGCAAGTAACTAAGGACGCATTTTTGGAAATGCTGACCTTAATTTCTTTAAGTTGAAAAAAAAAAAAAAAAAAACTGCAAAATGACACAAGCATTATTATTTAATGGCATAATAATTTAACACATGCTAATATGTTGTGACAGTTTGGGGAATCTCTGTATACACAGCTTATGAATGATGATTATTCTGGAGAATTCACTGCATATAAAAATCACATACCTGTCCAAACGTAGCTGCCGAACATCCAGGAGTCATTAACTAGAAATAACTTTGCTCAAGCAGTATGATGAAAGTACTGGAGAAGCTGAAGGAAACTGGAAGCAGTGAAGCAAACAGCAGACTGAAGGGATTTTTTAAATTGCAGTAGTGGAAGTAATTGAGGGGGTTTTGTTGTAGGGTACCCAGGAAAATAATAATAAAATAAAAAAACAAGAGAGAGACTGAGAAAAGGATTTGAGGATCTCAGAAAGACTGTCCAAATCTTCAGCTGGTACCTGGAGTGATGATGGCACCAGAGAAGATGGCTTCTTTTTGCCTTTTGTGTAAATAAAGCATGTTTTAGAAGTTACACTGCAAAACGACAGCGTTCCTTGCTGTAATTGTCAAGGGTTGCTATGGGTTTAAAATGTCAAGCAGTCTACTCCTAAGAGTTCAGAAGAGCCTACTGAGGATACCTGAGGAGATTAGCATTGGGTTTATTGCCTAGAGCTATGGAAGACAGGGCTTGCACTGTGGTAATGAGTCTGAAGAGCTCATAGATGCCCCCTGGACTCTGATTAGGCTCAATTTCAGAAAAGCACAACATCAAACATCTGAATCCCAAAACCAAAGTTTGGGATTTTTCTAGAGAAAGCTTTGGCCAGAGCCGTGACACACAGAGACACACGCACATATATGCAGGATGGCATTCAGTTTCCTAAACGTGGGTGTCTACAGCCACTTGAGATGCCCCAGGGTTTTGGGGATGTCTTCACAGGGATGGCAAATACGATACAGAACCTTCTGGGAGAGCAGCCAGGACACCCCAGAGCATCTCAGGAGGCACCAAGGAATTGCGTTTAGCTAACTGAATCCCAGCCCTCAACCTTCCTCTTTTTCAGAAGGAATACAATCCAATCACAGCATTTTATTTCAGACCATTTTTCAAGCTTTGCCAATGGGGGAGTGAAGGGGTAGAGCAGCCTGGGTGAAGACAGTGGTAGCAAATCTGATCCTGATTTTTCTGCTGGGCACAGCCACACCTGCTTCTCCCCTCTGAACAGACCAAACTGTTCCCCGGGAAGGCAAAGTATGTTTCATAATCCAAGTCACTGACTATCAGGAGGACACAGACATTTCCAACATATTTGAAAATATGTCACATAAAGCCTAGTGTTTCTTGGTTGAAAGAAAAAAAAAAGGGTACTGTCAACATCAAAGGAATATCACATATAATGTACAGTTAACACATAAACTACATATTTTTGGTGATAGGTTCAGGACAGAAGCTGAAGAAGGTTAGGGTTTTCCTCACCAAGGATCAAACTGTTTTTCCATATGTCAAATACTGTGCCTAAATAATCCCTGCCATCTAACAAGCTCCAAGAGCTTTTCTAATATTACTCTGCAAAGCCACCACAGTGTTTTCTACTATTTGCCACCAAAGGGCCACAGACATACCTGCCGACGTTTCTCTGAATTTGTCACTCGTCTTCTTCTTCCGCCATTTCCACGGTTTAAAGATTTTGCCAATGGTGGAGAGTTTGCCCTTCCTCTTGAAGGGGGGAGTTTGGGATCCTGGGGCTGGTCCATCCGAGTTAGCGATTGAAGCCTTATCCAAGCCATCAACTGTTCAAACAAGAAAAATAAAGGTAACTGAAGGATGCACCCCAAAAAGGTACCCGACAGCTAGCATTTCGCTGTGTCCTGTGGTCACTAGCCAGACCCCACCTAAGGTAGCCCTGGGCTCAGCATCTCAGCTGCAGCAGGCTAGAATCTGCTTCTCACCACGCACATCTGGCACCTCTGCACAGTTTTTCATCACTACTGAAGAGTTTCTTTCAACACGTATTTGGGTGACTTTTTCTTTATCTTCAGTAAAGCTGAATAACTAGCTGTCATCATATAGAAAACAAAACCCTTACAATATAAAACTTAAACTATTTTCTTCCGAGTAGAACAAATCCTTTCTTAAATGAGCTCTAAAGATAACTGTTCTGGCAGTGGAATGGAAATAGGTCTGTTTGATATCCCTGGTAATCAGTCATTCGCAGCACAGCCTGCCATGACTCAGACTTCTTATTAACAAAACGTATTTAACAATAAGCTTTTGGGCTGTAGCCAAAATTTAACGAAGGATTACTTTTCTGCAAAAACATATTGAGTGATACGAAAGCCAATATTTATCATTGATGGCTGTAACATCAAGTTTTGTGAACCAAAATAAGACTCATTCCACAACATGCCGTAGCATACAGTTAAAATAAACTTCCCAGAAATTTCCCCGAGAACTCTACTATTATCTATTTCTATTTAAGAGCTGAGGTTTCTTAGTGCCTTCCATTCGTGGGGCTGCAAACACTTCAAATACGCTTCATTTTATTCACGTGAGCAGCTCCACTGAAGTAACTGCGATTACTTACGTACATAAAATTAATCACAGGCTTAAATGTTTGCGGCATAAGGGCTCTGTAATTGCTTTCATTCATCTAAACATTCTAATTATAACCAATTCAGAACAGAGTTGATGCCATTGTCAACAGTAATAGTGATAATCATAGATCATTAAATCAGAAAGTGCTATTCAAAGAAGGAAATATCACTGTCCCCATTTTACAGATGGAAAATATGAAGCACAGAATTGTTAAGTGCTTAATTTTATGTTTGCCAAATGGCTTCCTGAATCCTGGTCCTGTGTCCTAGCTGCTAAAAAGACACATATTCAGACACATAGCATCATGGTGCAATCTTATTATTCTGTTTCTCAGACAAATGGCATTTAATGAGTCCTATATTTGTCCTAGACTTTAGATTGATCCAGGATGCTAAAAAAAAAAAAAAAAAAATCTGTTCTGTGAGAAAGCTGATGTAATGCAATCAGAGTCCAAGAAACTTTATTTCCAAAGTTTTGAAATAAAGTACTGGGGAAAAAGATCTATTGTATAACTTCATTGAGTCTATGAAGTTAAAACCAGAGATAAATTTGTATGAAAATGATAGCATTTAAACCAATAAATCTGAGTGTGTTATGCCATCGCATGTAATAAATTCTGTACTGTCAGACAGATGGAAAACTTCTCCAGGATAAATTACTGTTATTCAAATGCATCCAAATTTAAAGCTTCTATTTAAGTGTTTTCCTTGGGTACTTTCTGGTCTATTGCACAGAGACAAGATGGAATAAAGGCACAATAATGGGCTTTAAACTTAAAGCCAAGCTTTTGGTAAGGACCCGGATGTGACTACCCCTTGCACAAGTACAAAACCTCAGCTTCCTCACTTGTGCATCCTGGAGAATGCAACAGGGTGATCCTTAGGAACATTCAAGCTGAGACTCCCTTAAAACAAACCAGCCACCATCCTACAGACCCTGCGAAGCCAGGTGAGAGGTGGGGATGAGAAGACCGCAAAAGGCAGCGAGCAGCTCTGCAGAAAGAGAGCGGCATGGGACAGCAGAAGGACCTCTGTGGGGGTGCCTCACCTGGAATTAGGGATCACACTTTTGTCTGTGCTTACAGTAACTGCCTATGACTTACAATCCCCTAGGGAATACCGATGCCTCTGCTGGAAACCGGATCTAAGGCAGAAGTACATTTACTTGGAGAGTAGCTACAATTCCAGTTGATTTAAGAAGAGGCAAGGGCTTATGGCTGGGGAGAGTCAGCTTAGACATAAGGAAAACGCTTCCCAGGGCTGGGTGGCACAACACTGGAGCAAGTTTTGGGAGGTTTTGAAGGTTCAACCAGGGCTGATCTCACCTACTGTCAGTAACAGCCCTACACTGAGTGAGGGACTGGACTGAGTGACCTCCTGAGGTCCTTCCCAATCAAGATTCCCTTGGTGTTAAGGGACGTGGAAAGGCACGGTTGCTCCGTAAAATCTGTGCTAGTAAACCCAAAGAATCAGAAGTGAAGTGCTGAAGAGACGAGACCAGGATCTGGTGGCTGGAGTTTCATCCTGGGACAGGAGCCAAGCATTATCTCACTGGCAGAGGCAGTCCATCAGCTCGTTAGAGGGAAAGGCCACCCGCTCCTTGGAGTCAGCGGGACAAAAACCATGTTCTTGTCTCCACCAGCTTAGAAAGGCTGGGTTATTGATGTGAAGAGCCTGCACCCTGGTCACAGGCACCTCAGTCTTTATAAACATAGATCTTTTCAAACCCTCTTGGGTCATGGAGTCCAGTCTGTTGCAGGCAACCACTTTCACAAGAGCCTCATCTAAATTTTTTTCTCCAGCAGGAATGGAGGAGAATTATGGCTCCAGTAGCTCCCCACAGAGAAACATGGATTTGCACCAGTCCCTGCTTTGCCCTCTGCTGAAAATATTTAACTCTGAAATTACGATATTCATCCTAGCAAAAGAAATGTGTCTGCTTCAAATGAGCTAACATATGAAAAAAGATATCCATTTAGTGGTGAATAATTCCATTCAGGAAGACTGCAACTTCTGGAAACAGGATTCAACATTAACTCCTTCCGACAATAAAACATGAGGAGGAGTTGATTTATCAAATGAGTTCATCAAGCCCTCACAATCGGGAATTCACTAAACCATTGACCTTGTACCAGTTCCTTCATTTGAAAAAAGGGACCCTAATACATATCTGGAAAGGAGGAATAAGCATGGCCAAACGTTGATTTCAGAAATAATCTAAGACAAAGAAACATTTCTAGGAAAAAGGACTTATTTATATTCAAAAGTAATCATAAGGTAGCACATTTTACCAATTAATAAACTGCCTAGAAGAAAAAAAAAAACAAAACCAAACAATTTCAGCAATGACGTTCCAGAGCATTTATGGAAAGATCTTTTCAAAAGCTATTACTCCTCATCTTTGAAATACTCAGCAGGAAATTGATGTTTAAGATTTACATTGTTTGCTTTATAGGTCATGTACTATTCAAGAATAAAGCAGTGTATTTTTCACCTCAGAGAGCTTATGTACTTTCTATTAATCATTATAAACGTTATACATATTCACTGAGATGAAAGGAAACAGCTTTGCAAGATTAGAGGAGCTTGGTCACTTGTGTTATTCTTTTGTTTGTACAGTGTCTTGAAGTCCTGCCTTCTTCCCACTATCTTCAAAAAGCCCGTGAGTCACTTCAGTGACTTCAATAAATATCATTATTAAGTTTGACATGAGGACTTTTGACTATACTGCCTGCATAGTTTATGTTACTACATTCCAGTCTTTTGCCCTAGGTGTAGATTTTACATTTGAAGGGGAAAAAAGTCTACACAAGAAGGACAAAAAGTAAGTATATGAACCAACAATAACTCTGAGACACTGTGAAGCCACATCATGGCAGCACAGGCCATGAGATAGATGAAGGACATGAAAGGACAGCCTCTCCCCAAGCTTGTGGGCAGCCAGCAAAGATGAGACCAATTTATGGATAACACCAGCTTCCCTATAAACACCCAAAGATGGAAATGCCTGAACACGTCTTATCCTAGGAAGGCTACTTGCAATAAGCATCACTGATCCCTGTGGCTTCCTAGGAGACACTCTTCTGCTGTGAATGAACTCCAGAGATGTTGTGGGGCTGAAGCAGGCGTGTGAATTCATCATAGTTTTTCCTGGGGCATGGTCCACCTCAGCACTGAGAAGTTCATGTCAGCGCTGACACACGCTAACACCTTCTTCTGGTAAGAACTTACAACTAACTGTACAAAAGCAAAATGCAATACCAAGCTATCCATCGCAGCATTTCAAGCAAGTCTAATATAAATTCCTCTGAAGTAAATAGCTTCCTCTGAAGTAAACAGCTGTGATTCTGCTGGTTCCAGGCCTTTTGACCTGGAACGCAGTAAGACCCTTTTTTAAAAGCTTTGACTTGAAGAAAATTCATTATGAGAAAGAGAGGGCTACATTTATACCATAAGTTTTTCTCTATTTTCACTTCTGTACATTTTTACTCTTGGCAGTGTAAGTGGAAAGCCAGTAGAAGAACCTAACCTTGCAACTGGATATTAGGACTAATACAAGATATATGGGGAAAAAAAAATCCACACCATGATGTTCTCATGCCATTATTTTTCTAGTAGAACCGTATTTTAATTTTAAAGTATGTTTTTTACAGATTTGAGAATCATAATTTTTTTTTTTTATTTGAAGTATATGAACCAAATTCCTTGCTTGTAGTTTACTACTAGTAATTTGAGTCACTGATGATTTAAAAAAAGGTCAAATCTGAGTAGTTAAGTAGCTAGCTACAACAGAAGTACACTGGGAAGATTTTTCTGTAGAAGAATCCTTTACTGAATCCGAATAGTTGTAAGATTCTTTCTCATGTTAGTCCGCACTCACAATTAGACACAATGAGAAAGAGTTTATTAGATAGACTTTGTCGTAATCTAGAAGGGAATGTCTTATAAAACTGCTGTTTAATAAGCCTTATCTTAACAGTGTTTAAATGGAGTTTTGTGCTGTGTGGCCTGGCCAACAACAACACATGATATGAAAAACATGAATCATTTTAATTTTGTCTTACAGAGACTCCAAACTGATAACAAGTACACTGGAATCAATGCTAATAACTAAAGTTTAATTAGTTTATTCTTGTCACAAAGATCCTTAAGATCCTGGAGTAAAAAGCACTTAGGGTGACAACCAGGAAAAGGAA